GGTGGTGTAGCAAGGGGGCGGGCCGCAGTCTGATTGAGGGCTGACCACTCCAGTTTACTTCGGTCCACTTCACTTCCTCGCCCGTCGCCCGCCTTGTCCCTCCCTCCCTCCCAGAGCAGCGGCAAGCAGTGGCAGCAGCAGCAGCAGGGACAGCAGCACCCCCACCGCTTGCCAGGAGGGAGGGCAGGAGGAGGGGGGCGGGCAGCGCGGGGTAACGACAGAGAAGTGCGGCCACTTAAAAGTTGCGCAGAGCTGGGCGCGGCGTGCGGGGGAAGAGAGGTGGCGGGGTGGAGGGGCGGTAGGGCCGTGACAGTGAACAGTCTGCGACAGACCGACCGAACAGGGCCGACAAAGCTAGGCCCAGTTGCCGGTGTGCCGAACAGAACAGTGCTGGGCTGAGGGGCGGCCGGGGGGCGGCCGGGGGCGGCTTGGGGGTGGGGCGGAGATGGAAACCAAACCAATTCCAGAGCTGCGGGGCGGCGCGCGCAAGTTTGTCTCGCGGTGTACTACTACTACTACTCAACTTGCGCACGAGGAATAGTTTTCGCACGGTAAATGAGAGACCTTGATTTTGCGAGCCGCCGCTACACTGCCCGACTAACAATATCAAAGCTTTTCGTTTACCGTGCCATGCGATGCGTGTTTGTTCTTTTTTTTTTTTTTTTTTTTTTTTTTAAAGGAATTTTCAAATGGGCGTGAAAAAACGCCGCTTTGAGAGGATAATTTGTTTTGCACTCGCGGAATGCGACGCTAAAAGTTCCCCTCACCGCACGCAGGCCACGCGATTCTAAGCAGAAAGTGACAATTTAAACCAAAGGGTTTTTGGGAACTACCACTTTTTGCTACGCGGAAACCAATCAAATAATCACTTTCACCGTGCGGGTCGCACAGGCCTATAACCGCTACTGTCGTGGGGGACTGGGGACTGCACGCTCGGGGCGCGCCGCTCGAGTAGGCAACCCGGCCGCGCGCCCGCCGGCGGCACGGTATCACGGGCCCCCCTCGGCTCCACTCCGCCCGGGCCCAGGGCTCCTCTCTGATCGATCCACACATTACACGGTTATTGTCTTGTCCCGAATAAACACAATAAAAAGAATATAGAGGAGACCCAAGAAGAAGAAGAAGAAGAAGAGCAAGGCGCGGCGCTGCTCGGCTGCCATAGCAGAGCTCGCGACTCCGCGCGCACACTACGCCCCGCCTCGCCGCGGGGCCAACTTTTAGAAGACATCGATGATGGAACGGAATGGACCGACACCGCACGCCGCCACGCCACACCACGCCACGCCAGGCTCCTCCAATCAGTCGCCGGAGCCGCTCGCTCGCCCCGTCTCCGCTTTTGCCCCGTTGTTAGAACAAACTCTGCTGCTGCGCACTTCGGAAACACGAGACGTCATCGCTCATGAGAGAGAGAGAGAGAGCGAGAGAGAGAAAAAACAAGCGAACGGCACGACACAAGGGACCCGTCATTATTCTCTGTTTTATTTATTTTTTTCGCATGTTTCGGCCGGATTTACTATACGGAGGCGGGGCAGGCACAGGCGAAAGGGAACGAGGAGCGGGAAGGAGGGGGTGCGGATACAAATGTGGTGGAAGAGAAGAGGAGGGGAGGGGGTGGGAAAAGTACGAACAGTCTGCTCTGCGCGCTGTAGCTACTCCTCCTCGCCAGGTGCGGGTCCAGCTGCCGCGCGCTACCGCAGACCAGTGGGGACCAGAAGGGGAAAACTGGATCCCATCCTCGGGCCGGGCCCGGCCGGGCTGGCCCGCGAGAGAGGGTGCGGTATGACTAAGGGAGGCGGAGCGGTGAGGGATCTTGCGGTCCGGTCGGGTCGGAGGGGATGGTGGTGAGGTGAAGGGGATGAGGGCCGGCCCAGGCCCAGGAGAGGGTCTGGTTGACAGCCCGCCGCCGGACGGACTGCCAGAAGGACGACCCCCCAGCCCCCCAGCCCAGCTTCACGCAGTTCAGTTTGCAGCCTCTCCATCCTCGCCCCCCCATCTTGTCCATCCCCGTCCGACTGCGGTGCGCACAGGCGGGCTCGAGGGTGGCTCTCAGACTACACTTCTGGTCAATACTGGTCCCGGTGGGCGACCGGTGCTAATAAACATGCGGGTCAGTCGGTAATGGTACCTTGTCCCCCAATCACCACATACACAGTTCTCCCTTTGGACTGGACCCTCTACGGGCAAAGGCGTCGGCAAATCTCAAGAATGTCTTCTTCGCGCGATACATACTGAACCAGGAACACTGACAAATATCCTTGTGAATTTACGTTTGTTGTAATTTTTATTTACAAATTATGTGGTAAATTTGCCGAAAGTTTGCGAAAGCCCAGTCTTGCATGTCGATCGAGGGGGCCACCACATCGATTGAGTTTCAGGCTCTAAAACCATCAAATTTGGAGAATAAGGTAAAATTTATAAATTTTTCTATAGTGATAATGTTTTAAAATTTGGTAAAGGATTACACGGAATAGATAATCATTACAGAGGGATTACCCCCATCTGTATACAGGATTACGCGAGTGGTGGGCCCTTCGATGCCGATTAATCCCAAGTCGATACGAAGTGATTGTTAATTTACAGTTTGAAATAATTGTAATTTTACGGCACACATCATGGAAAATATTCCCGTAAACCCGTACGACTATTTTCACAGTGACAGTATAAAATCCACAGGGAAGGATATTTAACCCGCGAGGAGGTGGGAGGGGTCATCGACGAGACAATAGACAGACAGCGCCCGCAGACATGACACAGGAGGAGGAGAAGGCGGCGGTACTCGGTCGGCTACTCCACGGCGACGGCGACACCTGCAGGTGCCGATAGCGGTGCGTGTCTGACTCACCCGGCGGAGCAAGCGCCGGCGCCGCGAGGCAGACCGTCAGCAGCGCGGCCAGCAGCAGCACGCCGAGCAGTGGCATGGCCAGCAGTGGAGAGGGACGGGAGAGCGAGGGGCGGCTCGCGGTCCCCCGTCCAGCCGGAGCCAGACAGGGGGGGGGGGGACGGGGGGGACTCCCCATGACGCGCACAAATATGTGCGGGGGCGGCGCGGCGGCGGCGGCCGGGCCGGCCTGGAGCACAGCAGGCTTCAGAAACGGCAAGCCGTAAAAGTATTCTCTATTTCTCTTCTTCTGTAATATGTTTCCGATCCGTTCGTAGTAAGTAAAGTAATACTTATCATTGGTAATACAAAACTCTTGTTTGTTCGCTTTTACAACACAAAAGGCGCGCGCACTCTCGCGTGTGATGTGCCAATTATTTATTGTTCGCATTCGCCGCGCGCAGCCACCACCGAGGAGTATTATCAAGCTTTCGGCCGCGAAACGAAAATATATATATGTGAAGAGAGACGGCAGAGAGCTGCGGGCGGCGCGGGATCCATGAGCTGGAGGCACGACTGCGCGCTGTGTGCGTTTGTTCTGTTCGGTTTCGGG